AATCCACCGCCGTGGGACCGCTATATATTGTGACCCGTCACACCTGGGTAGGACCATGTCCACTACACGCGCTCGACGTACTACAGCAAGTATTCCGCCTCGAGACTCTTTTTTCCTGCATCTGACATTTACCCATGCAGGCTGCCCAGCCAGAGCTGTCTCGTGGCGATACGGATGCCGTATGTATTCAATTTTACATTCGAAATCTTCTAATAAACTTTGCAGCCCGCCGTGTCCGAGGCTAGCAAGGAAAAGGTAAGATATTCAGTCATTTCACTCACCATTAGCTCACAGTAAAAACCTTCTAGGACGCGGTGGTGCCCACGATCCGCAAGCGTGTACACAAAGACGACGAGGACTTTATCGACGATACGGGCGTTAGTGATCCAGAGGTACTTTGGCTTCTCTTTCCCCACACCCACTGTCCAAACTATCCCACAGCCCGCAAAGCCTCTTGCCAAGAAAAGAAAGGGTAAACAATCCGTCTTGAATTGTCCGCCCCGAACTTACCTTTTATAAAAGCTGTCCCCCGCAAGAAGAAAGAGGCAAAAGTCTCCCTGGCATGCACACACACACACAAGGTTAACACACCCCGTAGGATGAGTCGGATTCCGACGACGCCCCCCAGCCCAAGGTGAGCCACTTTTTTTCTCAATGCGTCCGATGTTTATATTATCAGAAGAAAACCGCCGCCAAAAAGAATGCCAGCAAAGTCACAAAACCGACTAAATCAAATGCCGCAAAAGCCGCTGCCCCCACCAAAGCTGGCCCCGCCGCGTCGGTGAGCTCGCTTTTCTGTATCTCTGCACGCGCGCTCAAGATTAACAGCCAAATCTGGCGATCGCCGCCGATGCTCTCCACACGGAATGGCAGGCAAACAAGGACTTGGCCCTCGCCACTCGACAAGGGCAGACCGAGGAGGCCAAAGCCGACGCCTATGTCGGCATCACTGCGCTCGTAGGCAGAGCCATCACATACCTCGACCTCGCGACGCACAAGCTGCGTTGCGACCTTGAAGACTCCGGCAAGCTCAAGTCCAACACTACCATTCCTCCATTTCGTCTCCCCACCCCTCCGCCCGTTCCCGACTTTCCGATTCCTTTCAAGTCGTTGTGGCTAACGGGAGCCGTAGTCCGCACTCCGCTCGATGGGAACACGGAGGCAGCAGCGAGCGGCGGCGCAGAGACGAGTGAAGCACCCGCTTCAATCCTTCAAGGCGTGCCTGCCGTGCCCGAAGCAGAAACTCAGGGAGAGGAGGGCGCACAGGAGCCGCCGGACGAGGAGGACGGCCATTAGTTTCTGTCAAAGACTTTCACGACTCTAGCATTATCACTTCTTGTACTTGGCATCGTACCGTAGCATTTCTTGTACCCACCCTCTTGTAGCAGCACATTATCGAATGTATTCAATTCTGGTGTCCGAATTTTGTTTACATCTCTGCGACCAAATTGCGCCAAACATTGCGCCGTTCCTTTCTTCTTCCCTCATCTTCTTGGACGCTATTTCTTGGACTCGTCGTGTAAATTCAGTACCCTTGTTGACGTGCCTGCAGCTATTTATCCTTCTTGACGCGCCTGTATCTATCCATCCTTCTTGGCGCGCGCGCACGCGTTACTTCTTGACCATGGCTGGCCGTCCCTCGCGTTTCGATGCCGCAAAGCGCTACTTCGAGCTCTCGTCCGAGGAACGCGACAGGATCGCGGAAGAGGTTGAGCTTTCCGCCGAGTTTGAAGAGCTCGCCGACAGCACCATCAAGCGCCGCGAAGAAACCAAAGAGGAGCTCGAGGCCTTCTGGGCGAGCCAGGATCACACAGACGATCTTTGGGAACAGCCTGTCGAGGTGCTCGCAAGTAAGACCCATGCCGCCTGTAGTTCTCTGCCGCTGACCTCCTTTAGATACTATCAAGACTTGGCTCACCGCCAAAGTCGAAGGCACGAAACCCCATCGCAAGCGGATCAATGCTACGCATGTAACATATTCGACCCTCAAGTCATGGCGCATGTCAGTTACACGCGTCGTATGTGCTACTCCATCCCCCTCCAACGGCCCGAGCTAATAACCCCATGCCATAGGTTTGTAAATATGTCAAAAACGGCCAGAAAATGCTAAACGACTCTCTCTACGTTACTCTGTGCAAGCATGTTGGCTTTGTGACCGTCAAGTACAAGCTCGAGCTGCTTGCGGGGAGGAAGCAGTTTTGCGGGCGCCAAGAAGTCCGACTCATAACAGAGGCGATATATGCCGATTGCGTCGATCTTGAATGGGTTCGTAAACAAAGCGTACTGGGTGCGCAGAAGCTAACCATCTCCCGATAGTCGCTCCAGACGGACGTCGCACTAAAAATCATGTTTATGACGGGACTGCGTTCCGGTTCACTCGGCCCTGCGTGTCAACGATATCTGGATGAAGGACGGTTTCTCAAATGGAAGGTCAATCCGCTCTTCCAACTACAGTTGTTTCCAGTTGTCTGATATCCCTTTAGGACGTGATGGCGCTTGTGAATTCCTTTGCCGAGTTCTATCTCGACCTCAGCGTCACGGCGCTAAAAGGGTACAATCTGATCGCGGCTAAGCGGTTCGTCGTTGATTTTTGAATCCTACCCGAGACTAACTGTTGCTTAGTTTGGAACTAAATCTTCGTCCCGCAAAGCGTCCCGACAATGTGATATTCGAGGTTGCCCCGCCCCTCCTACTCCTTGCTCTCAAACGTGGCGCCATCAAAGGCATCAAGGACCCCGAGCAGCTTTTCGAGGCAAAGGGAACCAAGATCGTTTGGGAGGACTGGGCAATGGAGCAGCCAATCTTTCTGCGTGGCCAAGTTGGCGGGCACCCCGACTGTGAAACCGGGATTGTTATGCGCTCCCCCGGCATCACTGATATGCTTCAAACTGCGGCTCGTCGTATTGGGCTAGGTGCGTCATTCGAGATTATTCACCCTCGTAAGCTGACTCGACCGCAGATATCGAAGCCTACGACTTTCGTCGCAATTTCGGGGACGAAATCGAAGAAAACTACGGCGAGGCCGGGGCGAAAACGGGGATGGGGCATACTCCCAATTCAAATACATATGTGAGTACGCACCCTGCATAGAATGGACTTTGAGTTAAGAATGCTGCGCAGAAAACAAGATACGGTCGCGAGGCCGCAAACCTCGACGTTGCCGGCGCAGTCATGCACGAGAATCTGGTCAATAGATACGAGCTCAACCAATTCCGCGCTCCCGCCTTGCAGCCGCACGTGGGCCTCTCAAACGCGACCATCGAGGGTCTGCTGAATATGCAGGAGCGAGGCACCAGTTTCCGCGTCAACGCACAGCCCGTCCAACTCAAATGCAAGGCCCCCGCCCTCGTCCAGCCGTACGCGGCTGCGCCAGCGCCCTACGTCGACCAAGCCATCACCGACGAGCAATGCCACGCTCATCCGTACTGGCTCCAATTCGTTCAGGACAGCCAGTACACGCACCGCGCGAGCCAGATGGCAAAACACGAGGCCGTGTACAAAGATGCGCTCCTCGAGATCCCGGCCCTGCCTGGCAAGAATCCGCACCGGACAATTGAAGCAAAACTTCGAGAAGCCTACCCCGACAATCGCGAGTACCTTGGGGCCTACCTCGAATGGGTCCGTATCCGGGATATCCAGCATGCCGCGGAGACGCGCAAGATTCATACCATACGGGAAGCAATCTCTGCTACCCGCGCGACCGACACCAAACGCAGTTCCACGGAAGAGACGAGTACATTCGCCGCTCGACAGGACCGCATCGCGCAGTTTCAGGCGCCCTCGATGCTCGTCGATATTGCCATGCTCCGTCAGTTTCAGTTTTTCTTTTTAGTTTTATTTCTAATCTTTCCCAGATGTCGCGCCGCCCCGGCCCCGAACGCGCGTGGCCGCATCCGAGACGGTTGCCATCGACAGCCTGCTGGACCCGACCTTCCGCGAATTCAATGAAGGTGATCCTCGCGAGGTCGACGTGGACGAGGTGCCTACGTGGCTTATCCGGGCCGGGTACATGCGGTACGTTTCTTTCGTTCTTCTGCGAACAGGCAGCAGCTCATCGCAATGTAGGATGCTGTGGACGTGCGGCAAGGATGTGCATCCTACATGCCCCGACTGCGAGATTGACCCCACTGTCGAAGATGGAGATCGCGAAAAAATATGGACTCCTTTCAAGCTCCAGCGTCACCGGTAAGTTTCCTGATTGTTGATGATCAATTGTGTTAACCGGGGCGGCTAGTAATCAATTCCATACCGTCGAGATGCAGCTAGTCCGCTGGTATAATAAACACAAGTCCTGCTTGCTCTGCGCACTGGACAACATTACGGTCAAGTACGTGATTTTCTATGATTCATGGAACACTTCTCATCTCATTGTTTCCTAGATATCCCCGCTCTACCTATACTCGCCACATCAATCGTACGAACGGTTTTCACGTCGGTGATCCCCGCCTTCCGTCAAACCCGGTGGCCACTGAGATTGTTATTGCCCGGCCGCTGTCCTTTCTGTCGTCCGAGGAGGTTATCGATCAAGAGGAATCCTGGGCCCGTGCGTTCGATGGGGTCAAATTGCCGGAATCCTTCATTGGCGAGGCAGCGATGGTGGGGGTTTTGGCTGGGGCGATGATGCTCGGAGTGGACGAGGGAGCGCTACGTCCACATATGGAAGTCGACGTGGCAGCCGTCACAAAGGCATACAAGCGCATCAAAATTTCGAGGGAACAGTTCGTCTTTGTCGGTGCACCGGGGGAGGACAATTAAATTCATTCTCTCATAACTCAATCATTGTAAACTATCGCAACGCCTTCAATTCTCTTTCTGCTCTGTCACACCTGTGACGTGACCATTTTTCGAGCCCCTTTCGACTTAGTGCAATTTGACCATCTGTCGTTATTCTATTTCATGGGAAAAAAGGGGGAAAAAAAAGAGAGGTGGAACCCTTTCGACTTGTGGAAATTTTGGGCATTTGTAACTTGCAAAAACATCAAAAAAGAAAAGAAAAAGAATGAGAGCGGCAGGACTCGAACCTGCAGCCTTTTGGTGGTCGGTTTACGTAAAGAGCATCGAAGCCAAACACGCTAGCCATTGCGCCACGCCCCCGTTGGAATTTAGCAGAACTGATGCACTATTATCAGATACACTCATCCTCCCATCAGCGTGCCCTGATTCCGGGCAGCGGCTGTGCACAAAACTCAACTTCGACGCCAACTTTAATAAATCTCGCCAGTGACAATGTTAATCTCGTGTGCCTGCTAGCAAGGGCGAGAGTATGGGAATGGGTGCAACTACGTAAGCATCGAAGCCAAACACGCTAGCCATTGCGCCACGCACCCGATGGGAGGTATGGAAATAAATGCCATATCATAACCAGCCATCATTTATCCTCCCATTCGGCGGCCACCCGCAACTGCGAGCACAGGTGCTCAAAGGCAAGAGGCGGTCCCCCCAGAGGAGTGGCGAATTGGCTAGCGTGTTTGGCTGGCAAATAGCCAAACACGCTAGCCATTGCGCCACATACCCGTTGAGATGCTTTGGGGTTGATATCATATCATGACCAGACATCACCTATCTTTCTCAGCCTCCGTTCACAACTCAACCGCAACTCTCTTCCGCGACAAGTGTTCGCATTTTATCGCTGACTTTACATTAGTCTAATGATGCACAGTATGGATGTATTTACTTTCTCAGTTCCCTCCTCGCTCCTCCTGGACGTCGTTCGCAAAACACGGGATGGTTGCCTCCCTATGTTACTTGGACTTAGTCTCTGGCTACAACAATATTGGTGCTCATAGTTCGCATAACTTGGACTCACTCCTGCCCACCCAGGCAAACACGCTAGCCATTGCGCCACGCACCCGCTCAGAGCTACGGAAGTAGACATATCATGACTGGCAGGCATCGTTTATCCTCCCATTGCGTGGCCGTCTGCAACTTCGCTCAAGCGAGCTGTGGTGGGGAAGAATCCCCGCAGATGGAGTATGGAAATGGGCGAATTCGGTTGTTATGAATTTGCAAGCTGCCCACCTAGGCAAGCACGCTAGCCATTGCGATGGAAGGTAACTTGAAGTAGATGCAATATCATGACCAGGCATTGCTTATCCTCCCATTCGACCGCCAGCTCCTCTCACTGAGTTCATACCCGAGCTCCTTCACCACGATAATTCACATCTCTCTAATCGTGAAGTCTTGTCTGGCTTAGCCAAACACCCTAGCCATTGCGCCACTCACCCGATGACGGCTGTGGGGATACAGTAGGTCCTCATGACCATCCGTCATTTATCCTTCCATTCGGCGGCCATCCGCGGGCAAAGGCGCTCAAGCGGCAAGAGATAGCTGCAGTGAGGAAAAATCCCCACAAATAGGCGAATTCGGTTGTTGGGAATTGCAAATTGCGTTGCGAGCGGATATAGGCACTGGTGTGTAAATGCATTTCCTGACAATCTCACGCTAAATACATGTTATGAACGAGGTGTAGCCCCCGCAGCGACGACAATGACGATGTTATCGTCAGTGACCTCTAGCTCTGCACGTATCCGTTCTCCTGGGGAAGTTGCCAGCACCTTGCACAATCTGAGAGGTCGGCACCTGTCGGCTGAAAGTTGCAATGACGGATTCAACTAATAATCATTGCGCTGTGGAGTTGGAGAAATTCAACGTCGAAGGCTGTCTCTGAAATTAACAAACAACACCATTTGCCAAAGATTCAACCATAGAGCATTTACATAATATTAATATAATTTCCAGATGTCGAGAGTCAAGGGCTGGCATGTTATCAGTCTGTGTAAGTGTCGACAGAACTAAGGTTCGAAAGCAGGCTTGGTTCGAGGCCAAAACGAATTTATCTGCAAGAACCTGTTGTGCTGGTCTCGAAGGTTGAAAGGCAGCGGAGGTCAGGAGGGGCGTCTATCCAAAAGAAGTTGGTGCTGTGAAAATCGAAGCAACAAAGATGTGGCGAAAGCAAGCTTGGAGTGTGCACAAGTGCGAAATTTCATTTTGTTCAAGTTCATCTTGTGGGGCCATTGTCAATTCGAAGCAACCGTCTTCTTGGGCGACGTTGAGGGTCAAGTTCGTTCGCCCAAGTACTCCATCTCTAGTATATAAATTAACCCGAGCCATTAGATATACGGATCAAATTCGTAAGAAAGTTTTAATGCCCCTTGCCCTCTGCCATCGCATACAAGTTGTCCTTGTCTCCGGACTCGTCGACGAGCGCGCGCAGTTTTCCCTTCGGGTTCTTGAGCAGCGCCTTGGGGGCGTCGAATTCAACCTGCGGAAACTTTAAACCAACTGGAGACAAAATATAAATGGATACTGACGATGCGCCCGTCATCCAACACCATCTAAGACTGCGGTTAGCAACGATACAAGGAAGTACCACTGCGACTCACGATTTTATCCGAGTCCAAAATTGTTTGCAAACGGTGGGCGACGGTGATGACGGTGACGTCCGGCTTGAGCTCGGTGCGCAAGGACGTCTGGATGACGCTATCGGTCTTGTAGTCGATTGCCGACGTGGCTTCATCCAGGATCAGCAGTTTACTCTCCCGCACTATCGCACGCGCTATGGAGGGATTAATAATAAGTGCTTGCATCGGCGCAAAGTTGAACACGTACCCAACGCGAGGATTTGGCGCTATCAAGTCATCAGCAATGCAGTCAAGCACATGAAGAGCATCGCGCACCTGTCCGACCGAGAGGTTGCTCCCTCCGCTCGAAATGACGCTATCCAGCACAAGACGCCCTTCCTCCATCTCCTCTTGTAAAGAGAAAAGCCCGGCGGCACGGAGCGCGCTGTTCAAAGTCGCGTCGTCGTACTGGTCGAACGGGTCAAGATTGTGGCGCAATGTTCCTGACAGCAGTTCGGGCTGGAATCCATGTTAATGTCGGAATCAAGAACGGCAGGATAGTCCCACCATCTGCGGAATGATGGTTATATTTGAGCGCAAGGCGTCCAGGTTGATAGAAGCAGTCGGCATCCCATCGTAATGAACAGTTCCCTCGGTGTATATACAACGCAGCAGCGCAAGAGTCAGAGAGCTCTGGAAACAAACGTCAGTCGCCAGAAAGAGTCGAGAGACAATGGCCTACCTTGCCCGATCCGGTGCGGCCCACTTTTATGCCCGGTCAGAATGTGCCGGGAACCATAGATGGAACGTACCGATTCCAACACGCTCGCCGGCATTGATACGGAACGAGATGTCGCGCAAGACTTTGGGACCATCTGGCGAATATCGCGCGGAGAGCTTCTCTACAATAAGCTCACCGCTGCTCGGCCAGTGAGCAGGAGGCTTGCCGGCCTCCGTCGGCTTCGGTTCCTGTTCAATGTGGATATACTGCTGGATTCGCTCCAAACTAATACAGACACGTCAATATCAGACTGACTGGCCTATTATCATAAATACCTATTGCCTACGAAACGGTCAGATTCAAGAGTCTCAAGATATTAAAAGAAGCTCACCTTGGATTTGGACATCGTTCCAAATTCGAACCTAATAATAATTAGCCGCAAACGACATATCCCCGCAATTGATTTACCCAGAACAGGATTCGGGCGCTAAATCCGGCTGTCGAAACGGTGAGTAACAGGTAGCGAGATCAGAGGAGCGCTCGCACCAGCCATGTTGAGACTGAAGCCCACGTTATTGGATTGTTCCTAAACGGACGATTAGATCCGACAAAGAAACTCAAATGAAAAGGGAGCCACATACGTTCCGGAAATACACAAGGTACGTTGCAAGGATAGCGGCAAGAATGTTGCCCACTGCCGCGAGTCGAACACCAACCCAACGATCCAAGAGCGAAAGTGTCCGGGCCGCCCGGGTGTATTTATTGATCCGACGAAGGGATTCCTCAATAAACGGTGCTTGTGCGCCGTACGCACGGATGGAAGCTATTCAAGCGTATCTATTAGCAAAAGAAGAAAATTGTTTGGCGGACATACTAAGGCCAGTGATGGATGCGCTGAAACTGTAAATTATTAGCAGACAGCAACAATGAAGACGAGCTCACTCACTGCCCGAGGACCGGAGCTTTAGCATTGCTGCTCTCGCGCTTGATCGAGAGCTGCGCCTTGATAAACAATTGGCCTACGGCTCCGCCAATGATGGCGGCTAAGACTCCCGGCACAGAAAAGAGAGGCGTCAGAAGTACAACGGCGCCAAAGGATGCGATCATGGAGATTGTGACGTGGGCGAAGCCCGCAAACACATTGAGAATCGGACCGTCGACTGGAAAAAGGTAAGATTGGCGCCGTTTCCCTCTAAGATCAGAACATACCAGCATTTATATCCGCGGTGAAGCGAGCAATGACTCGGGACGCAGGCGTGATATCCAGCCACCTGAGAGTCGTGCCAAGAATCGACTCGATGAGCTTGCGGTGGATGCCTCTCGAGGCCCTCAAGACGGCATACGCGAAGATGATGTCCGCCCATGAGTGAGTCACGATGTCAAACGCCATGATCAAAGCGTATATTCCAATATGACTGGAAAACACGGTGAGTCGGGAGACCAACGCATCTCCGAGTAGACCACTCACTAGGAAACAGAAACCGAACCCTTGGGGCTGGTTTCGTAGAGCGACGCAAAGTAGCCCAGATACCACGTTTCGTAGATTTGGAGAAGGTGCGAAAGGGTGTAGAAGCCGAGGAAAACCGTGTAGAATCCGACTCCGCCGAGACCAGTAAGGTATAAGCCCACTGCGACCACACGTTCAGGGAAATGAGATGCAGCGTTTTTCAAACCACTCACCGGCAGACCATTTCACTCTCCCCAACTGAACTTCCTCCGCAAGAATCAACTTGCCGTCAGTCTCGCTGTCCACCTTCGGGTCCGGCTTGGCCTCGACCGGCCCCGCGTCCACGACCTCCTCCATGACTTGCAAATCAGCATTGGCCTCGTTCGCAAGCGCCATGTCGTGCCGGAGCGCTTCTGCGACCGATCCCTGGCTCATAATCCGCCCGTTCAATCCGATGGAGATGGTAAAGTCGGCGATAGGAGCGGCGAGCGCGACGTTATGGGTCTCAAAGGGACAAAAGATTAGCTGTCAAGTCATGGGATTGGAGCAACGACGTACGACAAGGATTACAGTCCGGCCTTTCACC